GTAGTAGTAGTAGTAGTAGTAGTAGTAGTAGTATTACTTCTAGTCCATGTTCCTTGAACTTGTAGCTTGAAAAGGGAAAGTTTTATCAAAAACAGTAAAAATAAATTAAAGCAAATGCTCAGTGTGTTTAAGAACTTGTGGAATTACAAATGGAAGGGTTAATGTTGAAAACACAGGTGTTAACTCTAATAATTAGGGTCTTGCATCTACACAATACATAATGAAAGCACATAATGTGCATTTGATCACTTAATAGTTGGTCTGCAAGATGTCCTGTCAATTTAGTCCCTTTGAAAGCAGCACATATTTGACATTTATAAATGCTGAATCAAGTTCCTATACTTAATCGAGCCTTTTCTAAGATGGTTATCTTTAACAGAAGCAGACAGTTACATTCATGACAATGTAAAAAAAATAACTGGAAGGTGCCCTTTCAAATTATATATCAGCCTTATCCAACATGCTGCTCTCCAGGTACATTGGAACTGCAAGTTCTGGAGTTCCTAGCCAGCTTTGCTTTTTTCTCAAAAACATTATTGTTTTACAGATGTAATTGCTTTGGCCATGCTGATCATTGTGACACAAGTCATAGTCCATACAAATGTCTCTGCTCCAAGGAAAGCTACACTGAAGGCAATAATGTAAGTTCCATTTAAATATGTGTTTCACCTCAAATCCTAATTTTCAAAATCTTGTGAGGTAGAGAATTAATGGTGCTTACTGGATTTTAATTCCCTTTAGCTTCTTGCAATATCTGGCAACTTCAAGTAATTCCATTAATCCATAGAGTTCCACAACCAGCAGGAAGCTTTCCAGGTGCTGATCACGAAGTGGGGATGATAGAAAGTATCATCTCTGGCATTGGTGCTAATGTGGTTCAGAGGAGGAAGCAGCTTTTTTTAAAAATAAGGAAATATTTTTAAGAAAATGTTGATGTTTTTGAAATGGAAACCTGCATTCCAGTAATTAAAATCTTTGTTTTGTATCTTTTTTTTTTTGCATTTGGTGAAAAATACATTGCAGGGGAGATGAAAGTGAATTATTGGTGCTCAGTTAATTCCTGTGACTCAAAGAAGCTTGTGGACCGAAAGTAACACATTCTCTGGTGTTTAACATATATATTTGTCTGAATATACAGCTTCAGACATGAAACCTCCCCACAGATCTTTTCCCATTCAGCACTGAGAGCAGGAATTTAAGATGTTTTAGATAGTAAAGGCACAATTGCTTAACCAAATATTACTGTAATTGAAGAGAAAAGAAGCATTTATTCAAGAGGTATTCAAAACCATTAACCAAAAGAAAATGTTTTTATCATGGAAAGGGTAGGGGGTATTTGAAGGGTGAGAATTGTATAAAGATTAATGTTAACTGGATGTGAGTGACAAACATTAGTGTTTGGTCTCTATAAGGATCTAGGTGTCTATTAGGGATAGCAACAATTACACAGGTAGTAATTTGAAGTTACCATACACTTATCTCTTTTGTGCAGTAGTTAATTCCAGCACAAACTGCCCGTGGATGTCCACAGTTCATCACATTGCGTTCTCTTTTTTTAATATAAATATTATTAAAAGTTTTAAAAAGAAGATAAAAACTAACAAAAACTAATACAAAGGAAAGAAAGGAAAGAAAGGAAAAAAGGAGATTGAAAGAAAAGGACAAAGGTGCAAAAAGAAAAGATAAAAAAGAAATAGAAAGAAGAAGCTCCTGCATTCCTCGGCAGCAAATATAAGTATGATTATAAAATTATCTCTTCCTCTATGGTTAAAAAAAAAACAGCTCACTTTTTTCTATTATCTAATATTTTCTGATCATCAAAACCACAAATCAAAAGTTCATTTTTTTTTCTGTTTCGTGCAAAACATCCATAAGAGGCTTCCAGTCAGCAATAAATGTAGATGTTGTCTTTAGCATCAACTGCTTTCTCTATGAGAAAAGCAGAACCCTGCTAGGGAGAGCAGCTAAGGATGTCTCTTATTGTTCTCCTGCTCTAAAGAGGGCGTGTGCTAAGATTTGTATAGATTAGTGCAGGAGAGGGTAAGGACAAGTATTCCCTCAAAGCAAGACAGTCATTCAAACCTTCATCCATTCTACCTTCTTGCACTGTGGGGTTCTTGCCCCTGCAGTGGTTGAGTGAACAAAATTTTCTGTGGGAGGGACAGGTCACAAGACTACTCCTGCCTTGGGATTATTATCCCACAAAGCCAGAGTAGGCAAGCCACCACTGAAATCTTAGTAGCATTGCAGTGAAAACTCTATAAAGATATAAATCATCTTGTCTACCCCAGTTTATTATGGTCAATCTGTGCTGGAATCTTAATGCAGTATCTGGAGCTCATGAGCATCTTCAGCTCATACATTTCAAAGGGGGTGTGGTTCCCCTCCCTTATTCACAACCCTTGTTCATGCAACACCCAATACTAACTCATGTATCACGTGCAGTACTTACAGCAGCAAGACACAGTTCCTAATAATAATTACTTTTCATTTATTTGCATCTATAAGTTTATATATAGGAATAATTTATATAGGAACAATCACCTAAATAATCACTGCCCAATTGTTCTTAATTCAGAATGGTCAATGTAGCAAGTATTATCCCAGATAAAGTGTAAAAACTGTATATAGTCTTTTTATATAGTATGATTTTTTTAGCTAATTTAATGTGGATATTTATATTTTTTTTACTGTTTTTGATGTTTGATTTTAATTGTGAGCTGCCCACCCTCTGGGGGAGATGGGTGGCATATAAATTTAATAAACAAACAA